TGGAGGGAACTTAAGTTCTATCACGTGATGGTTCTTTCAGCCCCTCCGTTTATGAAAGGACTTTGAAACCGTTCCACCGACTATGACTTTCATTCCTTCAGTATTTTCAGAGGATTCGGGTGTGGCTTGAGCTAGCCCAGGGAAGAGACAACAGCATCAGAGGCGAAAAATAGCGTGTACTCAGGGAGGACGTTTCAGATGACAAAAGCTTGTGTTTATGTTGTGTGTGTGAAAATAAAGGGAAAATGAAGTTCAAGAAGTGTCGGAAGTATAGTGCTGGGTTGGCGGGGTATAGACAGGGAAGAGGCACAGAGGCTCCTGGGGTGCTTGGACTGCACTGTATCTTAATCTGGGTAGTGGCTAAGTGGCTATGTTGTTAGGTGCTGTCTGTTTGCTTGGCCCCGCAAGTGATGTCAACTCCATGCACAAGAGAACAAAATGCTGCCCAGTCCTGTGTCATCATGATCAGTTGCTGATTGGACCCTGTGATCCGTAATGGTTTTCACTGGCTGATTTTCAGAAGTAGATCACCAGGCCTTTCTTTCTAGTCCATCTTAGTCTGTAAGCTCTGCTGAAACCTTTTCGGCATCATAGCAGCCCATAAGCACCACCCAAAGGTGTTGGCTATGCAAGAGGTGCATTAGCATGGAATCAAACCCTGATCTTCTGCACGGAAGGTGAGAATTCCACCACAGAACCATCACTGCCCCTGTTATGGATTGAATTGTGTCCCCCCAAAATATGTGTTGTAAATCATAACCCCTATACCTGTGGCTATAGTCCCATTTGGGAATAGGTTTTCTTTGTTACGTTAATGACCCAGTATTAGTGTAGGGTGTATCTTAAATCAATTTCTTTTGAGATATAAATAACAGAGTAAACAAGCCAGCAAGCTGGCAAGCACAGATGGGGGAAGATAGATGCCATGCTACATCATATCTCCAAGGAACAAGAAACAGGCTGAAAAGTGACAAGGACCTTCCCCAGAGTCCACAGAGAGAGAGACTTCGCCTAGAGCCAGCACTCTGAATTCGGAATTCTAGCTTCCTAAACTGTGAGAAAATAAATTTCTGTTTGTTAAAGCCACCTACTTGTGGTATTTCTGTTATAGCAGCACAAGATAACTAAGACAGCCCCTACATAGGTATATACATGTAAAAATTCACTGAGATATGTGCACTTTATGCAATTATTACATGTCATTTTTAAAAGAAAATAATAATTAGTAAAGGGAACTCAGATTAGAAGGGTGGACTGGGGTCAGATCATGAGGGTTTGGGTGTATCAGAGAAGAGCAGGGGTTTGTCTGTTCTGAGGGTAGCTGGGAGCCATGGGAAAGTTTTGAGCAGGCAAAGGGCAGCATTAGATCTGGGTGTCAAAAAGATCTCTTGGATTGAGT